GACATTCACGAAGGAACATGATATTTCTAGAAAATAGGTGGCGTGACATTAGTCACATGACCTCGCTGACGCAACAGGATATTTGCTCTTTTTGATTTACATCAATAACATAAATGAAGGAATGGTCAATAAATTACTTAAATTTGCTGATGATATTAAGGTCTTGGGTGTTGCTAGCTGTGAAGAGGATGATGCTGCTTTACAAAAGAATTTAGATCATTTAGTAAGCTGGGCAAATAAATGGCAGATGGGATTTAATTAAATAAATGCTAGTTAATGCATGTGGGTTATCATAATTTGGACTATAAATATCATTTTGATGGGAATAACATTAGCAGTGTCATGAAATAAAAGGATCTTTGTGTAATGGTTGATCAGTCTCTTAAACCATCCAAGCAGTGTATTGTTGCTAGTGGTAGGGCAAATAGGATTTTAGGATGTATCTACAAAAATATTGAATACAAGTCTAAATAGATAATAATTTCATTGAACATGTCACTTGTTAGGCCACATTTGGAATATTGTGTTCAGTCTTGGGCTTCTTACCTTAGGAATGACATTGAATTGTGGGATATGGTGCAAAGAAGGGTTACTAGAATGGTGCCTTGGATGGAGGGTTTGCCATGTGAGAGATTAACATCTTTGAAATTGTTTTCTATTGAAAAAAGAGGAGTTAGAGAGTGGGGATCTGATTGAGGTGTTTAAGATTGTAAATGGAATTGATAGTACAATAGTACAACAATATAAGAGTTTAAGAGAGACTTTTTTTTTTCAATATATGATCATTTAGATGACAGGACAGCTGAAATGGACCAATAGGTCCCTTGTTGTCCTTGAATATTATGTTAAGTTAATGTTGTATGATTACAAATTTTTTAATATCAGTATCTTCCACAAAAAAGTGGGATATTTATTGTTAAAAAGCTTAAAAAGGTGTTAAAGATTTTATTTATTCAATTAATAATATTGGTTTAACTGGTTTGGGTTGAACAAAGAGGATAATTTTGTTTTGTATATTTATTAAAATATATGCTTTTGTGATATATAATCCAGTAGAATTCATTTTAGTGTTTTTCAATCAAATGGCATTTAGGGATTTTAAAAGTATGTATTGGTATCCATGAGCAAATGTGAGCATTAGAATGTTATAAAAATGTATAAATTATGCATTAACCAGGTACAATAGCCAAGCTTATAATGAACCAAATGATATTTAAGATTTTTTTCAAAATATGCATTAGTATCTATAAACAAATATTAACATTATTATCAATATGTATAAATGATATATTAACCAGCTATAATATCCTTCTTTATGAGGAGTTAAATGATATTTAATAATCCTTTTTTAAATGAACAAATATATATAGTATTATAAAAATTTATAAATGGTATATTGTATCAACCAAATATATAATGAAAACAATGACATTTAGGATTTTCTTTTTAAATATGCATGAGTATCCATGAGCAAATATACATATTATTATAAAAATGTATCAATAATATATTGTATTAACCAGGTATAATAGTCATGTTTATATCTAACACAATGAGAATGGAAATTCTGTTAAACATATATTATTCATAAATCTATATAAACAATGAGATGTAGATATTTGGTGTGGAATGTAAGTTTTATTTTGTTAATTATTTTTGATATTTATTCAAGATTTTTTGTGTATTTTTTTTTATTATTTAATATGCATGAAACTTGTTTAGAAGATATTCCTACTAGAAGTTTCAAGTTTTTGGACTTGAATACTTTCATTGTTTTCCATTAGGTGAACGGGGCTGTCGACCTTTGAAAAGTTCCCCTGATTCTTCTGTTATCATTACAAATCCAAAAACGTATTACCTTTTTGGTGAAGCTATGATCTTGGAATGCCCTGAAGGACAATATATGGAAAATAATGTTTTTCAAATAGTCTGTTTGTCCTTTACCTGGTCACAAAGCTCTCTACCTAACTGTGTCAACAAAACAAATATTCCTTGATATATTACGTATTTGAGAGGTTTTTTTCATTAATACTAATTGATTATACTTGCTTTCCTTTTTTAACATGTTCAAATTTCCAGTTGTATTTTCATAAAGAAGATTTTTATGAATTGAAACAGTTGCCTTTACTTAAAAAAATACAATTGTATTTTCTTGAATTAAGTGTTTATTTCAAAAATAATCAGAAAATTCTATAAAGAAAGTAAATTTAGAATTATTGAATACATTTTTAAGTTTTGATTTTCTTTACCATCAGTTGTAAAAGAGAAATTAAATAAATATAAGGTTTCATCTAAACCTAATTTTTTTTTTTATAAATCATAACAACATGCAATTACTGTTTTTGAGACACAACTTCACAATTCATTAAATAACTATGTTGCACATGAATAGAAAAATTGAAGAAAAAATCTGGTGAAATAAAAACCGTAGCAGGTTACTTTCTAAGTATAAATTTGACTTATGTATTATTTTGCTGATCCACTTAAGATACATGAACATGTTAAGTATACAAAAGAGTTGTAAAATCTTGTTAAAGATTTAAAGTTTGAAATGCTAGATCAGTTTTCTTATGCAATTTTCTAACTTTTAATCAAAGACATGTATTTAATGTTTTATAAAATGAGTGTTAAAGAATGATCTTAATATATGAAGATAAATTTGCTTCCACATTCTTTAATTTGGGCTATTCATTTTCAGAATTATTCAGCCATAATATAAAATGAGTGAATGCACATATTTACCAAAAGTACTTAATAATTCTGTATACAACATTTCATCAAAATTAAAAAAATTGCATTTTAGGACTTTATAAGTTAAACTTTCACAACAGTTTTCTCCTTTATTTCAAAATTTTAATTGTGCAAACAACAGTTATCAATAATCAAAACTAATATTTAAAGATCAAAATTTTTATCATTAGCTCCCAAAGAGTTTATTTTATTATATATCTAAAGCACTTTGTCAGTTTTATAGGGGCTGAATTCATTACAGTAGGTGTCTGTGACTTGTTGGCAATAAATTTCAGCAATAAATATACAGCACACAATTCACATGGTTTAAAATGATATATTCAAAACAAGTCAAATGTATGTACAAACATTCTTTACACTATTGGTTATCACAGTTGTATCCAGAGCTTTAAATAATTGTCTCTTTTTCATTAAAGTCCATACAGGCAGATTCGGTTACTTTGGAACAACCTTTGACAAGACAAATTATTCACCTCTATCTCTGTTACTGTTAAACTGGTATGTGGTCTAACTTCACTTTCACTAACTTCTATTAACTTGGTCATCTGTATATATATATATATATATATATATATATATATATATATACTACTACCACACGACTACTACTACTACACTACGTAGTATAGTTATTATAATTAACTAACTAACTAACTA